GTTTTGAACACCGGGTCGCAGATGCAGTGGTAAAGGCATCTGGCTGTTATAGCCGCCGAGGTCGCTGGTTCAATTCCGTCTGGCTGCGGAAGGATCAGGATTCAGGGCTTCAACGACGGTTCCGTCTGGCTGCGGAAGGATCAGGATTCAGGCCTACAATGACAGTTTGGTATGGCTGCGGAAGGATCAGGATTCAGGGCTACAACGACAAAATTACGGACACGTGGCCGAAGAGTACACTCTACCCCACAGTATCACCACAACTCCTGAGTTGGTGCGATACTGTGAAGTAGTGTGGTACTGATCAGCCACATGTCGGTAAGTTTGTCGTTGCAGGCACTGTTTAGGACAGTCCGGAAAAAAAAAAAAAAAAAAAAAAAAAGGGAGACCTCCCCAAAGATATGACAACTCCTGAGCTTCATTCAGGACGCCCGTTAAAATTGGAACAATACCTTTTTTCAAAGAAACTCAGAAAAAAAAGAACGAAAAAAAAAAGAGAGAGAAGATTAAAGATGTCAAGAGGCTCTGCTGTTGGAGTAGGCGTTTGTAAACAGGTCAACAGCTCAGGAAATCTTTTTTTCTACGTGTCGTTCCGATTTTAAATTTTAACGGACGTCCTGAAGCTCAGGAGTTCTCATATCTTTGGGAGGGGTTCTTTCTTTTGTGGAAAATCTGGACGGGTTCCATCTTATCTTTGGAGGTCTTTTTGGGAGGACCCTCTACGATGTCAGAGGGACATGTAAAGTTGTAAAGTTGTAAACATAAACTTTTAAATTTATTTTCTTTTCACTGTTTGTTGCATTGATTTTTATCCAGATTGTTGGGTCCGCCGACTTCCTCGGCAATCCTGTTGGCCTCGTTCAGAATCTTGGACTCGGAGTTTGGGATTTTGTGTCTGCACCAACTGTGAGCCTAATTCAGGTAAGCTGCAAAAACTCACCGACGAAATCTTGCTCTTCTTCTTCTTCTTCTTCTTCTTCTTCTTTTTCTTCTTTCTTCTTCTTCTTCTTCTTCTGCTTCTTCTTCTTCTTCTCCTTTCCATCCTTCTTTCTAGTTTCAAGCTTTTCAATTTATTTTCTCATGACCTTCTCCCATTTTCATTTCCCAGATATTTCTGGGAGTTCGCATGTGCTTCCTCTCCCTACCAGGTGAGCTGTGCCAAACTTCAGTTGCGAACGCACAGAGAGAGAGAGAGAGAGAGAGAGACAGAGAGAGAGACAGACAGACAGAGAGACACAGAGAGAGAGAGAG